CGCCCTGGTGGAGAGATATTGATTGATTTCATGTGTGCTTCCGGTTCCCTGCAGCATGCAGTGGACCTCTCCCGGGACTAGTTCTCTCCCTGGGCGGCCCCGCGGTGCGGAATCATCGGGGCGCTCGAGAAGTCGGGGCTCGCGCTGAAGCAGCGGGCGGCGACGGCGCCGTTGACCATCGCGCCAGGCACGCATGGCCCCGATCGACCGCGGGAGCATCGCTGCGAGATGGGCAAGGACAGCCTCGAGGATGGCATGACTCGCCCAGGCATGCGGGAGGTGCGCGGGGCGGAGAAGGAGGCCAGCGTGAACTACGTAGCCTCCGCACTGGCGGCGGAGAACCTGCTGCTGAGCAGGGGGGCGGAGAAGGAGGCGCACCGCTTCGCGCCCACCAGGGGGAGCTTCAAGATTGGAGCCCAGGAGGTCCAGACTGTCCCTGCGAAACCTCAGGGATGGGTGGCTCACGCCTCCTGCGTGGCCAAGTGGGGGCCCTCGCGGGCCGTCTGCTTGAATGCGCGGGCATGGCCCGAAAGAACGGGACCATCCACCCCCAGAGGCAAGGGCGGGGCAGCCCGCGGAGACAAGTGAGCAGATGCCGCGGCCTCGCCAGCGCCCGGCCAGAGGAGGCTGAGAAGCCTTTTCTGCATAGGGTTGAGGCCGCGCCCTTCCGGGGCCGCGGGGGCTCCCAGGGGCCCCAGGACCTGGCCAGGGAGCGCCGGCGCATTGTTCTGGGCGTTGAACGTTTTCACGGCAGGCAAGCCTCGAAAGGTTTCAAAGAATTGAGCCTGGCAAATTTAAGGGGGGGCGGGGGGGCTCTCCACCGTTGGGCGAAGACGCGGGGGGAGCCAGCGCCAGCGCCAACCCTGGCCCCAGAACGTGGCCCTGAGGGGGGCCCCATCGCGGGCCCTTTGCGCTCCGTGGCGGCGACGGCCGCGGCGTGGGAGGCGCTGCGGCGCCCGCAGGCTGGTGATCGGGGGGGCCCTCAGTACTTAAGACTGGCGGCCAGAATGAAAAGCGCGTGCGCGAGAAGCTCGAGGCGAGCTTCAGCCGCTTGAGCTGGCAGATTTGGAGTCGGCGCTGTCTTGCTTCCGACCTGTGATTGGGGATGGGCGTAGATGGCCCAAGCCCGAAACGTTGGGCCCAGATGCCTCTGGCGGGGCGCAGGCTGTTGCTACGCCTGCTCCAGCAAGTAGAAGATAAGATGATCTGGCCATGTTAGGTTCGAGAGAACGCAGTGCAGCTCCACGCGTCGCCGACAGCGGATCGCCCGACTACCCTCGCGCAAGGCCGATCCAGATGTTGGGCGGTGGCTCGACGGGGGGCGTTGGCGACGCGGTGGGTGGCCGGGGAGGGTGGGGGCTCGCATCTGGGGCAAAGCCATCAGAGGGAGCTCGGCCCTAAGAGCAGCGACCATGCGCGACCGGGAAAAGTTCCACGACCACCTCCAGAGCTCTGAGTTTTGCAGGCTCGGCAGGGTCAAGGGACACCCGGTGTTCCTTTTGTTCATGGCCATGCGAATCCATGTCGCCCCAAGGAGGGTGGGGGCGGGAGACTGCCTCAGTGATGTCATTATCCCCAGGAGGGGATCTTGGCTGGGTGCAATCAATCTGTCGATGTGGTCAGTGCAGGACTGCATGTGATCTTGCAGGATCTGCACGACTCCTTTCGACCCCTCCAATTCGATTCGTGGGCGGGCGGACGTTCGCAGCGGGCGGTGGGGCATTAGGGAGGTGGTCGCGAAGGGCGCGCAGGTAGGTAGGACGTTTTGGAGGCTGCGCACTCAAGGGGGACTCAAGGTTTCCAGCAAGAGTGCCTTAATCAGCTGCCCAGCGCACCGGTCCTCGGAAATTCAGTCGGCCCTCCGCTCCAATGGTTTGCATGCGAGTTCTTCTCAAGTCGCCGAGGACCTAGGGGCGGGCGCGACGGCCGCCCGGCAGAAGAAACGCCTGCCTTCGGCCGCGGGCCGCGCCAAGATGACCGCGCAAGTCGTCAGAGCCACCCCGAGGCCCCGCGCGTTGAGGAGATCGGGATTTCTGCCGCAGGCAACGTGGGGGCTAGAAGGTACAGAGCTGGCCCCCACGTCGCTAATGCGTCTGAGAGCTCAGATCGCGGCGCTGTCAGGGGCCCGCTACGAAGGTGGCTGCTCCACCGCGGCTCTCACGTTGATGCTGGGGTCGATCAGGGCCCATGGATTTCTGGTAGGCTCCGTCTTTTCCGCGCGCGGTACGAGCGACTGCCGTCTGTGCTGCGCTCTTTTGGGGGGCTACTGACGCGTGCATGGGAAAAGGCCTCGCGGCAACGGTTGTCAGCAAAACGCCGATGGAGCCATGCCAAGGGGCCAGTCACAGTTGTCATTGCGTGCTTGCAGGCCATAGAATGGAAGGCGCCAGAGCCGTGGATTTGGATCTCGGTCGAACAGGGGAGTTTCGATCTGCGCGACTGCGGTCCAGAAATGCTCATTGATTTTGAATTGCGAGGCTCCCTGGGCGCCCAGATTTGGGGCAAGGCCGCTAAGCATCACCTCGGCAAGGGTCTCGAATTCAGCGCGGCTCGGTGCCCCGCCGCCGCGCGAAAAGATTCGAGCGCCGAAATCAATGGGATCGCGCTGCGGTCTTGAGGATGATTTTGACAGGCAGCCCATGGCCGGCGGCCCGCAGGTTCGGAGAGGGATCAGCTCACCCCTCCCCGCCAGCCGCTACTGCCACGGCCCCCATCTCTGTTCCGTCCTCGTCGGCCCCGCTGGCGGCCGCGAGCGCCCCAGGGGCGCCGCGGGGCGCGCCGTTGGCAGGTGCTGACACGGACGAGATGGACCAGCCCGAGATCATGGGCCTTGATGCCAGGCAGGACGGCCCCCCAGCCCCCGAGGAGGCGGATGCCAGGGCCTGGACCATCCCCGCCTGTCCGCGCTGCGCCCCCCCCCCCCCCCCCCCTCGGAGACGACTTCCCATCAGCTCCTGCCCCCCCCCATATTTTTGAAGATGGAAGGCGCGCGCCTCGAGTTGCTCGATGAAGCGACGGCGGGGTGGAAGGAGTCCCGCGTTTTTGGTTGAGGGGGCCACCGCCGCTGAGATGGACAAGCGGACCCAGTCTAGCCAATGTTCCACGCGACCCTGCGCTCTCCCCCAGCCTCAGCCAAGGGCCAATTGACCTGAAGAGGGGGGGCGTCGTCGCGGGGGCGGACGGGTCGGGGGGGGGCCGTGCTCGGCGGAGCCCAGGCTGAAGCGGTGTGGATGGGGGTTTTCAATAATTCGGGGGGCCCCTAGTTGGGCTGGGGCCATGGGCCGCTGCTGGGATATGAGCAGACCGTCCCCCTGGCCAAATTAGAAGGAGTTGTCCAGGTTCTGAGGCGCACAAGAGGGCTTATCACGCTAGCTGTCGATTCGGCGGTCACTATCAGGGCTTTCCACCGAGGCCGTGACTATGCGCCCCCTTGTGAATGTAGCACCTTGGCGCAGGTTCTGGGCGGAGGCTGGCGACAGACAAATTTCCATGGTGAAAGTCAAGAGCCACGCAAGACCTGCGCCTAAGTGGGAGGACGGACCACCCGTCTTGTTCTGGCTTGCAAATGGGGCGGCCGACAACGCCGCGCAGGACGGAACGCGGAGGGCCCAAATCCCAGGCAATGTCCTCGCTGAGGCTTGCAGGATTGATAACTTAACTATGAAGGCGCAAGGGGACCTCAGCCTCATAGCAGTCTCGCACCACAGAGCGTCGAGAGTACCAGGGCTCTACGGCCCAATTTCCAAGTCCGCGCGCGCGGCCGAGACTAAGATACGGGGCAAGAAACGGGCGCTTAAAGTTGAGGAGGCGCGGGCTGCGTCGGTTCATCGGCTTGTTTCGGACCCGGGATGTGTCAGATGCGCCCTGTGCCTCACCCGACCGACAGCCGATTTGAAGTTGCAAGAGTGGTTATCTACGCCCTGCCCCAGGTCCTGCACGGCAAAGAGCCCTCCCTTCGGTTCGAGTGCCGCCAGGGGGGGTTCTGGTGCCAGATGTACGGGGCAACGGGGACGAGGGGGAAATTCGTCAAGCTGGGGGAAGGCTGCCGCCCTGATCGCGTTGGCGTGTGGGGCAGGCGGGTGATTAAGTACCTCAGGGGAGCCCCCCCCAGGGTTCAAGAGCTGGCCTGAGCCAGATTGCCAAGTTTTGGTTTCGGTGTGCCCGCTCTTGGGACTTGCGCTGTAGGCCTGGACTTGGACGAGGAGGAGGAGGAGAAGGAGGAGGAGAAGGAGGAGGAGGAGCAGCAGGAGGACGAGGAGCAGGAGGAGGAGGAGCAGGAGGAGGAGGAAAAAGGGGAGGAGGAGTAGGAGGAGGATGCCGAGGAGCAGGAGGAGGAGGAGGATGAGAAGGAGGAACGGGGGAGGGGAGGAGGAGGAGGAGGAGGAGGAGGGGGGATGATGATAATGCTGCTGCTGCTGCTGCTGCTGATGATGATGATGATGATGATGATGATGATGATGATGATGAGGAGGAGGAGGAGGAGGAGGAGGAGGAGGAGGAGGCGGAGGAGTAGGAGGAGGAGGCCGAGGAGCAGAAGGAGGAGGATGAGGAGGAGGAAGGGGGAGGAGGAGGAGGAGGAGGAGGAGGAGGAGGAGGAGGAGGAGGAGGACGACGACGACGCCGTGATGCCTTGCCCGTCCGTGGGCGCGGTCATGGCGGTTCTGGACCAGTCGACGCGGTCCGCACCCGTGCGGTACGCCCGCCGGGAGAACGCGGCCTTTAATTTCGGGCCAGGCAAGTCAGAGTGCATGGCAATCAGTGGGAGCCCGGCGCTCCACACGGAGGGCCAGGGGTTCCACGAGGTGAGCTGCCACGCGCTCGTGGGGATCAAGGTGGACTCCGACCTCACGTTCGTGCCGTACTCGCGGGAGGTGCTGGCCAAAGGCAGGGCGGCGTTCGAGGAATTCTTCCAGGCGTGCGATGCAGGGGGGTTCCCACTCCCTGTCGTGGCCGCGCAGGTCCCGCTGCGCGTGGAGCCAGGTGTGCTGTAGGGCGCGGCGATGTTGGTTGGAGTCGAGGGCATGGAGACTGACCTCAACCGGCTCCAGTACCATTGGGCGCGGGTTATTCTAGGCTGCAGGAGGGGCCCTAGGCTGAAGTGGACGCTGTGCCAGGCGCAGTGCGGTTGGGAGCTCCGCCTCGGGACACGCATGTTGGAGCAGGCGTTCGTGGCGCGCGCGCGGCTGTGGGTCCTTCCGCAAGGGCACCCGGGCGCGCTCCTGCGGGAAGCGGCGCGGCGCTCGACCGCGCACACGTGGTGGCAACTGGTGGGCCAGCGGATGGCCGACCTGCCAGGGGGCCGATTGCCGGACATCTGGGAGGTGGAGGGGCTGTTGGGGGCTGTGGAGGCCGCCGCCACCTCCGCCGCCGAGCGCAAGGCAGTGCTGAGGCGGTATCGGTGGGAGGTGGTGCGGCCGGCGCTGAGGTTATACGACCAGGCGGCTTTCGATTCGGCCGCGGACAGGTGCATCCAGTCGCTGGGCGTGACGTTCCGCGAGCTCCAGCCGGTCATGCAGCCGCAGCCGCTGGCGGAGCTGGCCATGGAGGTCGCCCCGCTCGTGTACCGCATGTGGGCGGCGTGCCGCTTCACAGGCCGCTGGCCCTGCAGGTGGTTGGGGGGGACGACATGCCGTGGGAGTTGGAGAGGTGCATGGCCTGCGGGAGCGAGCGGGTAGCCGTCTCCCATGCCTTGTGCGTGTGTGAGGGCGCCCTCACGCTTTTCCGCGAGCTGGAAGCGGTTGTCGGCGCCATGCCGCGCGGGTCGCAGCCGGAGCTGGTGAGGGCGGTGCTCGGGCCAGGCCATGGGGCCGCGCACGTCCAGCATGTGGGGCGTGCCCTGCTGGGCTGCATGGGGCGCAAGGCGCTTCTGCCAAGTGGGGGAGGCTGATCAGTGGGCGCTGCTGCTGGGCGGGGGGCGGAGGTGGAGCAGCAGCTAGGGGGGGTCGGATGCCGCTGCGTGGTGACGGCTGCCAGGGCGATGTCTTGTCAACCGGCCATTCAGCGTCACCGGCCACCCATTCATTTATTCTGCGGCTCTGGGTTTACGTATTCATACGCGCGGGCACGCACTCATATTCGTATTCGTATATGCGCTGGGGTGTTTATGGATCTATTGCTTTATTTACTTATCAGTGTATCGGGCCGTCTATTTATTTATGTATTGCCGTATTTACACATGTATGCCCGCGCGGTGCGCGGGGGGAACCTGGCCAGGGCCGGCGGTTGAGAGACCCCGGAACCAGTCCCTGCCCGGGCGCCCGACTTGAGATGCGAAGCGAGAAACGAGAAACAAGGAGGAGGAGGAGGGAGGGGAGGAGGAGGAGGAGGAAGAGGAGGAGGAGGAGGAGGCCGATGAGCAGGAGGAGGATGAGGAGGAGGAAGGGGGGAGGAGGAGGAGGAGGAGGAGGAGGAGGAGGAGGAGGAGGAGGAGGAGGAGGAGGAGGAGGAGGAGGCGGAGGTGGCGGAAAAGGAGAAGGCGGAGGGGGAGGTCCTCGTGCATCGCACCGCGATGGGGGCCCATTCCATTCCATTCCCCCCCCCCCCTCCCTGGCCTCCCCCCGCCCGCGGCGGACGCCAGAGGCCTTTCCTCCCCCTTCCGCGCCTCCTCTCGACGCCGTGCGGGGCCCTCCCCCGCGGATTTGGCCTCCGTCTTCTTGGCGAGGAGGGGGGGCACTTGGGTCTTGGCCTCCTAGAGTTAAGTCGGGCGTGTCTCTCTACAGGAGGAATATTCAAGAATAGTCCACAAATCGTCTGGGGACGATGTTCTTCAGTATTTTGGGGAATGTTTGAATTAGTTTTGAATATTTCTAATTGTTCCTCAAGAATCCGCCTGTAGGAGGACATGCCCGACCTAATCCAAGATGGGGTCGGAGCAGATGGGGTCGGAGGATCGCGCCGTATCGCACATGCATCGGCGATGCGGCTCGATGTGGAGCCCGAGTTTCTCCACGCCGACATCGCCAGTGCATCGCCGACGGTGCCAGTGCATCGCCGATGCATCGGCGATGCGGCGCGATCTCCCGACCACATCTACTCCGACCACATCTAGGAGGCCTCTATTGGGCGATTCCCTCGGGCTCCAATGCTCTGCCTGTTCTGCGTCCTCTGGTTCGGCTGCTTCGTGTGCATGACCAGGGGGCGGCCTTGCGCATCGCCCTGCGAGGGGGCCCATTCCAACCCCTCTCCCCTCGACGCCGCGCGCCCCCCCCCTCCGCGGCTTGGACCCCCGACAGGAGCGAGGGGGGGGGGGGGCAAGGAGAGGATCGCCATGGGGGAAGCGTGTTCTGTGGGAAAGGAGTCTGGAGACTTTGCGCCGTTTTCGGGAACTCGGAGCCCGAAAACTGGCCCCGGGGACTGTCAGGAATCAGCCAAGGTCTCGTCCTGGCAGGAGGCCCCAGGATCCAGGACCCGTTTCCCTCAGGACCCCTCTCCCCGATGCTAAGAGAGCGGCAGCGTTTGTTGGACCCCAGGCCAGCAAATGCGTGTGTGGCCTTACGCGGGTTCGCGCTGGCGGAAGTCGTCACGCCGATGTTGGACGTGCCACTATCTTGTCTATACCTGGTCGAGTTGTCGCCGCTACCTTCTATTAGGCTCTGCTGAGTCTTAGAGGAACAGTAGTTGCACAAACTGGTTCAGTTCATGTGCCCCCAGAAGTCCTGGACTAGCCCCACTGGTTGTCGCAATGGGCCCCTGTATACACCCCACTCGTCCCGGATGCTTCTGGAAGTGGTTGCCCAGCCCGATTAGCCCCACCCATCAGCCTTGAATGATCCGTAGCCGTTTCGCTTCAAGCGGTGGCAAGGCAAGTCGATTTCGACACGAGGCGTTTCTCTTGAACCCGTCGTTTGGTGAACCAATCTCCTCTTTCACTCAATGCACGCGGCTGTGTTTTTGACACTGTTGCGAGCGGAATGGCTCCTGTCGCACGCCATGGCCGAGCGAATCCACCTTGTTGGGAAATCTGGCCAAGATGCGACCGAGGAGTCCGATAGATCACCGTGCAGTGGCAAATACGTCGACGCTTCCAGCCAATGGATGCCTTCGCAATTTTACAGTTCTTGCCCGAGATCTTGGTCTGGTAAAGGGCGTTGCAATGTAATCAATGGCATGTGTTTGCCAAATTGCGCAAGCAAGTATAACCAGGATGAAACGTTGTGCGAAGCTAATTTCTGTAAGTGGATACACCCGTGGGGAGTGTGCACCTTCAACGAGGCGAACGCGACATTCCGGAGATCTTTTTGTCGAAACCAATCAAAGGAGCTCAAGCCAGAGCAGGCAGATTTCTGTGAGGGCATGCTGACGGGGTACCAGATTAAATTGCAAGCAGAAGAGGCAGAGAGAGGACCATGCAGTGGCAAAGACCTGGTCTCTTCCGGCCGATGGGACTCTTGCCCGGAATCTTGGAACATGACTGGTCGTTGCAATGTACTTGACGGCATTTGTGTGCCGAATTGCGACAGCAAGGATAACCAAAATGAGAACTCGTGCGAGGCCAGTTTCTGCCAGTGGTTACCACACCTTGAGAATGATGATGGCAGCCTGGGCGTGTGCACCTTCAGCGAGTCGAACGCGACATTCAGGAGAACGTTCTGCCGAAACCAGGCAGGAGCGCTCAGTCCAAAGCAAGCAGAGTTCTGCTCAGGTATCGAAGACGCCTACGGCGAATCACCGCCGCCGCCTGCCTTTTTTTGGAAGCGCCTATGTGGCCGAAGGTTGTGGCCAGAGGCCTGCCAAGCTATCGGACCATGTGTTCGATTCGGTTTGAAAAGCCTTCGGGGAACACGTGGGCATCTTCAAGGTCATCTTGGCCGTCTGGAGGCCATTCTGACCCTTTCGGGCCTTCTTGGAGGACGTCTTGGAGGGCTCGTGGGCCGTCTTGGAGGCTTTCTTGAGCGTCTTGGAGACCTCTTGGGCCGTCTTGTGGGCCTCTTGGGGCCGTGTCTTGGGCCTCTTGGGCGATCTTTGTGGGCACTTGGGCCGTCGGAAGGCAGAAACAAGCAAATGCCACAATCCTTCAAAAACCAATGGAAAATCAATGATTTTGGCCCTTTCGGGCCTTCCTGGAGGCCCAGGCCCTCTTGGAGGCCTCTCGGGCCGTCTTGGGCCATCTTAGGGCCATGTTCAGCCGTCTTGGTGGGCTCCTGGTCCGTCTGACGCCGTCGGAAGCTGTTTGGGGGGCCTCTATGGGCCGACTGGGGGCCCTCTTGGAATGCTCCAGGGCCGTCTTGGAGACCATCTTGGGCGTCTTAAAGGCCTCCTGTGCCGTCTTGGGGGCCTCTTGGGGCCGTCTTGGGGCCCTCTTGGGCCGTTCTGGTGCCATCTTGGAGGCCTCTTGGGCGATCTTTCGGCGATCTTTGGGGGCTCTTGGGCCGCCTCGGGCTGTCGAAAGGCCGAAAAGAAGGAACTGCCAAAATCAGTCAAACACTTTAGGAACATCAATGTGTTTAGCCTCTTCTGGCCTTCTTGGGTGCCTCTTGGGCCGTCTTGGGCCCATCTTGGTGGGTTCCTGGCACGTCTGACGCCGTCGGGACCCGTCTTGGGGGCCTTTCTGGGCCCTCTTGGGGCGCTTTGGGGCCGTCTTGGAGGCCATCTTGGGCGTCTTGGAGGCCATCTTGGGCGTGTTGGAGGCCTCTTGGGCCGTCTTGGGGCCCTCTTGGGGCCGTCTTGGAGGCCACTTGGGCCGTCATGCGGCCTGCTTGGGGGCCTCTTGGGCAATCATGCGGCCCTCTTGGAGGCCTGTTGGGCAATCTTTCGGCGATCTTTGGGGGCTCGTGGGCCGTCTCGGGCCGTCGGAAATCCGAAAAGAAGGAAATGTCAAAATTCGCCAAATATCTTAGGAAAATCAATGTTTTTGGCCTCTTCAAGCCTTCCTGGAGGCCCTCTTTGGGGCCTCCTGGGCCGTCTTGGGCCAGCTTCGAGCCAACTTCGGCCATCTTGGCGGGTTCCTGGCACGTCTGACGCCGTCGGGAGCCGTCTTGTGGGCCTTCTTGTGCCAATTCGGGGCCGTCTTGGAGGCCATCTTGGGCGTCTTGGAGGCCATCTTGGGCGTGTTGGAGGCCTCTTGGGTCGTCTTGGGGCCCTCTTGGGGCCATCTTGGAGGACACTTGGGCCGTCATGGGGCCCTCTTGGGGGCCTCTTGGGCGATCTTGGGGGCCTCTTGGGCCGTCTTGAGCCGTCGGAATGCCGAGAAGAAGTAAATCCCCAAGTCCTTCAAAAACCTAAGGACACTCCATGATTTTGGCCTCTTCGGGCCCTCCTGGAGGACCTCTTGGAGGCCTCTTGGGCCGTCTGGGAGGCCTCTAGGGGGGCCTCTTGGGCCGTCTTGGACCGTCTTGGACTCTGTTGGGACCTCTTGGACCATCTTGGGCGGACTTGGAGGCCATCTTGGACCATCTTGGAGGCAATCTTGGGCCAACGTGGCCATCTTGGACGTCATCTTGAGCCGTCTTGGAGGATTTTTTGTGCACGTTGGGGTCCTGGGCAATCCTCCCGGGACCCCGGCGGGACGGGCCGAAGCGCCAGGGGGAGTTCTTTTGGACAAAGAACCAAAACCAAAACCGAAAGGGTCCAGCACGCCAGGCACCCCTGCGATGAATCGACAGGGGGCGGCGGATCGAAGACGCCTACGGCGAACCACCGCCGCCCCCTGCCTTTTTGGAAGCGCCTAAGTGGCCGAACGTTGAGGCCAGACCTGCCAAGTCATCGGACCATGTGTTCCCCGAGTCGGTTTGGAAAGCATTCGGGGAACACGTGGGCATCTTGAAGGTCATCTTGGCACTTGGAGGCCTGTTGGGCGATCTTTCGGCGATCTTTGGGGGCTCTTGGGCCGTCTCGGGCAGTGGGAAGGCCGAAAAGAAGGAAATGTCAAAATCCGTCAAATACCTTAGGAAAATCAATGTGTTTGGCTTCTTCTGGCCTTCCTGGAGGCCCTCTGTGGGGCCTCTTGGGCCGTCTTGGGCCAGCTTC